CACAGAATACTGTACCTTCCTTAGCTGGCTTTCATATTCTTCTCGGAGTTCCCCTGGTTTGCTTAACTTAATGGGTGCTCTGAATATGAAGTCTGGAAAGAGAAGGGAGAAACAAAAAAACAACAAAAGGAAACACTTTTTAGTGCATGATGACTGGAGTTGTCTGAATTTCCCAAAAAGGGTAAGCTCTCCACAAGAGGTTCTGCAGCATTTTTCCAAGCACATCAGTTTATGCTTCCACACTGCTACGAAAAGTCTGTTTAACACCCAGGAACTCTGGGAGGAGCACGACCAAGTGAAACCATTTTGCACTTCTGTGCTTTCTTTTGAGATCCTCAAGGGCTCTCCACAAGCAGTTAAGCAATCAGGGGAGTACGAGGAGGATGTAAACACAGAGGTTAAGTAACAGCTCTGAGATGTCACAGGGAATCTACGTCCTAGAAATAAAACCAAGATTGAAGCATCTGCTCCAGCCAGACAGCCAAGGAACAGGCTGACAGCAGCAGCACAACACCCCAAATTCACACCCATACCCTTCTGCCACTTAAAGGAACACATCCAGAATAGTCATAGTCACAGAGTTGTCAGGGTTGGAAGGGACCTCTGAAGACCATCTCGTCCAACCCCTCCTAGAGCAGGATCCCCTAGAGCAGATCCCACAGGAACACATCCGGGTGGGGTTGGAATGTCCCCAGGGATGGAGACTCCACAGCCTCCCTGGGCAGCCTGTCCCAGGGCTCTGCCACCCTCACAGGCAAGAACTATTTTCTCACATTCAGGTCAAACCTCCTGTGCTCCAGTTTGTGCCCACTGCCCCCTGTCCTGGCCCTGGGCATCCCTGAGCAGAGTCTGGCCCCACCTCCTGACCCCCCTGGAGATATTTACAAGCCCTGATCAGATCCCCCCTCAGCCTCCTTTTCTCCCAGCGGCGCAGACCCAGCTCTCCCAGTCTTTCCTCACAGGCAGACACTCCAGTCCCCTCCTCACCCCCTAAACACTCTCTATTTCCTACAGAAATGCTGTTTTACACCTCCAGGCCCCCAGCACCTCCCCAGCTCCCTGCAGGGCTCCCCACAGCTCTGGAGCAAGCGCAGCTTTCATCCCAATCCCATTGCGCTTCCCGAAGTCAACATTTCTAAGCTGGCTGGGCAGGCTGCTCCATCCCACAAGAATTCCCCCCCCGCTCCAGCTTCCCTTCCCCCTCGGGAATTCAGATACCAAAAGCATATTGGCACAGGGATATAGTTTGACCTCCATCCCTGGAGTTTGTAACTCCCCAAATGACTCTTTACGTCGGTCTCGAAAGCTCCTCCTGCTTTTGTGCAGCGCAAGTCTGGGCGAGTTGCACTGCAGATGAGGAAGTCTGGGTGGAAAAGGGAACAACTGGAACAAAACAACAACCATTGAACACCCGTCCTGGCCCAGCTCTCCCTGGCTCAGGCTGCAGCACAGCTCATCATCCTGACATCCTATGCTCAGGGTTAAAACGAGGAGAGGAGCAACAAGGAAACATCAGTGGTATGTCCTCTTCCCAGCTTGATAAAATAAAGGGGTATAAACCTGCAGCTCCACTGCATATTTTGCTTAGGAAACGTTTTTATTCCTCCAATTAGTCAGCCTGAAAAGCTCCTCGTGGAGTAAGTAAACCAAACACAAAGCAACTGGCAGCCCCACCGGGCACCCCTGGTTCAGGACACATCTGCCACTCCCTGGGGTCAGGTCGCAGCCCTGCTGCTGCAACACCCCTCATCAAGACTGGCTAAATCCTCTTTTCACCTATCCTGCTTCCTACCAGGTTGCTGGTAAAGTTCCTAGAGGAAAGCCCCATCACGTAGACTCACAGAATGGTGAAGGTTGGAAGAGACCTGAAAGCTCCTCAGGGTCCAACCCCCCTGCATGGGCAGGGACACCTCCCAGCAGCCCAGGCTGCTCCAAGCCCCATCCAACCTGCCCTTCAACACCTCCAGGGATGGGGCAGCCACAACATCCCTGGGCAACATGTTCCAGTGCCTTCCTGATGTCTGACCTAAATCTCCCCTCTTTCCATTTAAAACCCTCCCCCCTTGTCCTATCACGCCCTGCCCTTGTCCCAAGCCCCTCCCCAGCTTTCCTGGAGCCCCTTCAGGCACTGGAAGCTGCTCTCAGGTCTCCCTGGAGCCTTCTCTTCTCCAGGCTGAACACCCCAACTCTCCCAGCCTGGCTCCAGAGCAGAGCTGCTCCAGCCCTCCCAGCATCTCCAGGGCCCTTCTCTGGCCCCTCTCCAACAGCTCCATGTCTCTCCTGTGCTAAGGGCTCCAGAGAACACAACACAGGAAAGAGGGACCTTCAGTCCCTGTGCACCAGTGAGTAGAAGCTCCAGAGCTTCCTGCTCAAGCAGCCCTGGAGTGGGAACACTGCCAAGGCCAGAGCTGAACAAATCACAAGGTGTTTCTTTAACACTTGCTTCCAAAGCGGGGAGGGACCCTCTTGTAATCAAACATCAAGCATGTGGATTACAAACTTGGATTTTTTCTTTTAAAAAATCAATAAATCTGCTATTCCCTCCTCCTCACACGCCTGCACAAACCAGGCTCATCATTTAAAGGAAAACATCCAAAATGTCCCAACGTGTGTGATAAAAATCCCGAGCGGTGGCGATGCCAGAGAGGCCAGGCTGCATTCCTCACTCCTGCTGCTGGAAACCTTCCACCAGCTTCTCAAAATGTTTTTCTCAGTTGTGTCCTTGAGCAGTTCCAGTCCTTTGTGAGTTTTATCAAGCTGAACTTCCACGGAGACAGCCCCAAGAGCAGCTGCAATTTGTAAGGCGCCCGCAGCAACCTCCAATTACTTCTGAATGTTTCAGGCTTGTCTCAGCCCTTATCTTCACAGCTATAAAGGTGTAATTTTTGATCCCTCCAGGGTAATAAAAGCATCTGAGCTAACCTGAGGGAAGCACACCACAGTAAAGACAACCCACATCAACTGTGATCTTACATGGGTTCAGCAAGTCAGAAGGGATTTGAAATAACGAAACAACATTAATCTATAAAGTTGTGCTGGTTTAGCTGGTGGTCTAACATCAGGTGGAGGCAATTTTATCTATAGCATCTTTATATTCATAGACTGGTTTGGTTAGAAGGGACCTTCAGGATCACCATGTTCCAGCCCCCCTGTATGGGCAGGGACACCTCCCAGCAGCCCAGGCTGCTCCAAGCCCCATCCAACCTGCCCTTCAACACTGCCAGGGATGGGGCAGTCACAGCTTCTCTGGGCAACCTGGGCCAGGCTCTCCCCACCCTCACACTAAAGAATTTCCTCCTAATGTCCAACCTAATCTCCCCTCTTCCAGTTTGAAACTCTTCCACTTCATCCCATCCCTCCCTGCCCTTGTCCAAAGTCCATTCCCAGCTTTCCTGGAGACCCCTCAGGCACTGGAAGGTGCCCTAATGTCTCCCTGAAGGAAATAAAACTCCTCCTTGCTCTTCCTCTTGAACAAGCTGTGGATCAACAGAGATGGTTTCTCAATGATGCTGACTTGGAAGGGCTGCTGGGAAGGTTGGCACTGGGATGCTCCTTCCATCACAGTGGAAGGATCAAACCCAGCATCCTGCTCTTTTATGCTGGCAGACAAGACTTTCATCCTATTGTGCTCAATCTTGGCAAAAACAATTGATTTCTGCACTAATTGAGAGGACAAAATATCTTCTAATGATTGAAGCCTGGTTCCCTCTGTGAGAGGCATTTGACTTGCAGCCTCAGTCCCCTCGAATGACTCCATCCAGTCAACGTTATCACACAGACTTCCACATTACACACCATCAACCCGCATTCCTGACCTGCAGGTTTTATGTTTACTGTCCAAGGAGTCAGAAACATCCATCTGGTGAAATCAGCCACACGGATGGAATGAGAAGCTGAGCCTGATTCAGAAACCCTTCGTTTCCCTGTCTGTCATCCAGAGGCTCCTGGGTTTGGCCAAACTGATGCCATCTGGCAAGTAGAACCCCCCTCACACCCCCCCAGCTTCCATGGAAACTTTCAGCAGCTTCCCTTTATTCCTGGCAGGGATAATCACAACCTCGAGTTTCTCACTGTTTTTCCTTTTAACTTCCAACAGTTAGTGTTTACACTTCCAGATTAAGATGAGATCTTTGTGTTTTCAACATACAAAACAAAAAGTTTTCTGACTCCGGAGTTTGGAAACAGTTTTCCAACAAGAGTAGTTATTCTAATTCTTCTAAAAGAAGGTTAATTTTATTAAGGAATTACATGAAGATAAGCCAATGGCATCCTGCAAATATATTTCTACTTCAGTATTGGTGAATCAGGGCACAGCTTCAGGGAATTATGGAACTGTCAGAGTTGGAAGGGACCCCTAGAGACCAACCAGTCCCACTCCCCTGCTAAAGCACCCAGAGCACATCCCCCAGGGCTGCATCCAGGGGCTGGAATATCTGCAGAGAAGGGGACTCCACACCCTCCCTGGGCAGCCTGTCCCAGGGCTCTGTCACCCTCCCAGGCAAGAAGTTTTCCCTCCTCTTTCAGTGGCACTTCCCATGTTCCAGCTTGTGCCTGTAGCCCCCGTCCTGTCCCTGGGCACTGCTGAGCAGAGTCTGGCTCCATCCTCCTGCACCCCCCTGAGATACTGCCAGGCATTAAGAAGGTCTCCCCTCAATCAGTTTGTTTAAAACAAAAAAAAAGAAAACTCTAAATATTTCAGCCACAAAACTACAACTTGTTCACCAGGTGGGAGCTGCAGGAAGACTTGGAGCTTGTCACCTCCTGGTAGGACAACATGTGGCATCACCAGGCCCTTTCTCCTACCCTGCTTGGGCATCTTGGCCCAACAAACCAGAGACAGAACTGAGCCAAGCTAAGACAAAAGTAGATTTAATCCAGTTCTGAGCCTGGAGTTCCAGTTGAAGCTGGAGATGACACCAGAAAAACATTCATGTGGTTGATGGCTGTTAACATTCTTTCATTTCTGCCTCACTTGTTACCTTCTAAGCAGGCTACTGCCAATAATTTCAATAATCTCCCTGTGACAAGTCTTCCCAACAGATTTTCACAGAATCACAGAATAGTTTGGGTTGGAAGGGATCTTT